GAATTGTAAGCCAAATAAACCTCTTTCCTTTATAAGTTACCCAGTCTCAGGTATTTCTGTTATAACAACACAAAACAGACTAATATACCACCCTCCACAGTGAATCCACCCCACAGCCCAGTACCTTCTCCTTGAGACATTCTGAATGTATTCTGTAGTCTTGCATCTCAGGGCCATTGTTTATTTTGTGACCTTTCCCTGGGATATCCTTTCCACCCTGTCTGCCAGGCAAACACATCCTCATCTAAGCTAAGGAGTTTTGCACATATGACCTAATTTGAACTGCACAACAACGCTTTATGGTAGATACTATTATAAGTCCCATTTTACAGGAAGGAAATAGACTATGAAGGAATAAGTAACTTGCTAAAGGCCAGCATACACACTAAAACATGACAAATAGCATGACTTGAACCCAAGCTGGGCTGCTCTGAAGTCCGTGTTCCCAGTCATCTGCTATCCTGCCTTCCAGGATGGCACCAGGGACATTAATTAGAACCATCGATTCACTCAAGGTTGGCCACCCCTTGGGGAAGCAATGGTGATTCAGGGTTTCTAGTCTAGAGAACAGGGCTCCTGTCCCAGGCTCTGCACAGAGTAGTGCCTCATTAAATATATGTTGAATGAATGACTAGCTAGATGAGTAATCAAGAGCAGCGGTGGGGAGGACATCCAGGGAGCAACAAGGAGTGCAGTGTTTTAGGCGTTGGGCAGGGGCCAGGCTGACAGCATCTGGAACATGCGCCTGCAGCCTGGGGAGAGCAGGCTGGCGATGCCCGTCCAGGAGTTGGTGATACCTGGACTGCAGGAGCAAATGGGCTTGCCAAGGGAGAGCACAGTTTTCAATCAAAGTTTCAGTAAACAAACAAAATGCATTTTTTCATGTGTGTTTTCATTTATTTCCAGGACACACCAGCCTGAGGATAAGAGATGCCTGAGTCTTCGAAAGCTCCATGCTCCAAAACATGGAGAGAAGAGGAAGAGCCTGAGGAAAGACAGGGTGGCCATCTTGAAACCATGGAGGCTACCTCGTGGGAAACACAAGTGCCTTTTTTTCTCTGCTCCAAAAGCAGAATCAGGATCGAAGGCCAGTTCCAGGGTGAACTTTCTAAAAACTCCTGCTGCCCACTGGCGGGAGAGCCTCACCCAAGAGGCAGTCGGCTCCCTGTCATGGGCATACACCCAGATGCTGGTGGGGGCTCCCGCATCAGGAGGGTGCTACGGTTTGAATGTGTCCCCTCCGAAATTCAGGTGTTGCCAAGGTGATAGTATTAAGAAGTTGGGATTTTAAGAGGTGATTAGGCCACAAAGGCTCCTCCCTTGTGGATGGGATTAAGGCTGTAATAAAAGAGCTTCACAGAGCATTCAGTCTCTTGCCTTCTGCCTTCACCATGTGAGGACCCAGTGATCCTCACAGCAGTAAGATGCCACCCTGGAAACAGAGAGCAGCCCTCACCAGTCAACTGAACATGCTGGTACCTTGATCTTATATTTCCCAGCCTCCAGAACTATGAGAACTAAATTTCTGTTCTTTATAAATTACCCAGTCTCAGGCATTTGTCAAGGCAGCATGAAATGGTCTAAGACAGTGGGGAAGCAAACCAAGTCACCTCTCAGAAACTTCCAGCCCCGAGGCTCTACAACTTTAAGCCAGAGTTTGGTTGAGAGTTACCCAACAATGTTTCAGAATTCTTCTTCCTCAAAAACACACACTGCCAAAAGTAACAAATAGGAATACTATTCTAGAAGGTACTCCCCAGTCTTTGTGTGTGCTGGGCCAGGACCTGTGGCCTGGGGCCTGGGTGTCAGTGTCTGGGGCAGGGTTGGGGGAGGTGCAGACACGGTCATCTGATTCCTGCTAAAATTTAGCGAAGTGACCAGTAACTGTTGTGGATGAGGGAGGTGATGAACATGTTCTAACAAAAGGCCCTGACATCACCCCTAGAGGGGATGTGGCAGCCGCAGCCTGCCCCTGCCCTGCTTCACAGCAGGCAAGCAGCAGCTGGCTTTCCACAGGGAAGGGCGTTTTCCAAGCCCTCTCCTCCAGATAACCTCTGTCAGTCATACTTGGGAAAACTGCTCCTCCACTCTCAGGAAGCATGTCCCCCAGCTGGCTGAGCAGCCAGACCTAAACCAGAGAATTATAAAATTGGGGGCTGAGGACCCCTAACTAACAGATGAAAAAGCAGGCCCAAGACCACAAAGCTAAGTAATGGTATAACCAGCTTTGGAAACCAGATATCTTGAATCCAGCACCCTTTCATGCAAAAACATGCTGTAAACACCTACACTTTGTCAGATACCGTGGTCCCTGGAAATGCAAAGATTAATGATGTCATTGTCTCTGAGGTTGGGGAGAAAGAGAGAAACAGAAAACTATAATATGGCTGGGTGAGGTACACACAAGGGGGCCCTGCAGGAGCAGGCACTCCCTTCCACTAATTATCTCAGCCCAAAGCATTCCTATTTCCCTCGGGCAGGAGAAGGTCCAGCTATGTGCAGAAGGAACTTTACTGGAAAGACAAGAGGCACAGAGCATGCCAGGTGCTGGTAACTTCCCCATGTGATGGTGGCCATAGGTGGGATAAGGGGCTGGGTGATTGCAGCTGAAAATGCAGGTAGGGCCAGGCCAGAGCAGGGAGGAAGCCCAGCAACCCGCCAGTACCAGGCAGTTGTGACAGTGACCATCCAGCAGGCCCAGCTGAGAGGTGATGAGGCCCAGGTAGAAGCAGTGGAGCAAATGTCACAGGAAAAGGACCAAAGTTTCCATTTCATGAAGGCCCACTCTGTACTCTACACTGTTCCCTTACCCTTAAGAGTTCAGCAAAGTGGGTGATATGCCTCCCATACTTCTGATGGGGAAACTGAGGCCCAGAGAAGATATTACCAGTTCAAGATCTTTCAGGCTGAAGTGTCTGAGTCAAGATTCAATGCCACTGATTTCACTTTATTTCTCTAAAGTGCATGTGTGTGTGTGGCCAAGATAAGTGACCTAAATAGCATCATCTACTGCCCATGATTAGGGCTCAAACAGAGATTGGCTGTGAGCTAAGTATGGGAGAATGGGTGCCTGGCTAAGAGCTGGCCTGTTAGCAACGTGGCCCTGTCACCAGACCCAAACCGAGGTCACACTGCAGCTGGGCCAGATCAGTCTGAGAGCTAGGACGGCACGCCCTGAAGTGGGAACAAGGACCTAAGGAGACTCGGAGGTCACCTCGCTCTACCCATTCCAATGCCTGGAGTGGAAAGAGGAAGGGGTCAGGCTTAGCAGAACCTAGTGTGGGTTTGAGTCTGGAACTGCTCCTCTCCTTCCCCTCCCTCAAGCCAGACCATTACTGAGTTTTATAATTCTGCCTTTTTTCTTTGGCCTGTGGGACACCTTCCTGCACAGGTCAGGGTGATACATAGTACTGTAGACTCCCTCCATATGAGGACATGGGGACTCCCACGGCTTAAGAAACTACCTGGGTCACACAGCTGGTTTTGGGTGGTGAAACCTGGCCTAAAGCCCAGACTGTCAACTCCTGTCCTATCTTGGTTCCTTGGCTTTGTTCCTCCCTTCCTACATTCCTGGATCCTTTCTGGAGTTGACAGGACAATGGTCTGGGTTAAAGTCCACCAGCTTCATCCAGTTCATCCAGTTGCTATGAAGGAAGCTGCCTGGTGGCATCTGGGACTCTCAGCCTTCAAAGCACAGCCTCTGTGTGAGCAGCTGCAACCCTGAAGAGGCTGGAGAGTCCCAGTGTCCCGATTAGTGTCCTCTGGTCATCGATAGACTGAAGCCCTGCCAAGGTGGCTGGAGCCAAGGCCTCTGCATCCAGCTACCTGCAGCAGCCCTGCCACTGGGCTGGAAAGCAGAGCCACTCTCCAGGAGGAGGTGGTGCTCACACCTGCATCTGTGCAGCTGCTCGCCCTGAAAATGCTGAGTAACAAAAGGGACTGGATTTGAACAGTGTCACTGAGTAGTGTTTTACAGAGCTCTCTCCCATACACTCCCATTCCATCCTCACCACAGCCCAGCAAAGTTGGACTAAAGACCCCATGCTCTAGATGAGGAGACCAAGACCCAGAAAGGTCACAGGGCTGGCCAAAGACACACCAAGAGAAAAGGTCGTGGCCGAGGTTCGACCCCAGTTTTTCTGACTCCAAGTTCTGCTCTTCGTCAGCCTTTTGCCTGCTGCCCAGATGTGAATCTGTCTGTGCTTCTCCAGCCAAAGGTCCAGGATGGTTTCCAGATTCACATGCACGTGAGAGAAAACATCTGGATATTTTAGAACTACCCAGGTCCACGGTGGAGCAGGACAGCCTGAAGGGCTGGGTGATGGGGGAGCCTTGTTGTCATAAGAATATGCCTCAGATCTATTCACTCCCATCTGACCCTCCCAGCCCTGGCTGAACCATCCTCCCTATGTCAGCCAAACCAGAGGCCTGGCCAATATTGCTTTGGATGCCAAGTCACTCCTAGGCAGCAAGAAACAGAGGCTTCCTAGGCCACATCAGACTTCTATTCTATCTAGAAGATGACACCTCCCAGCTTGGCATCCAGAAGGAGTAAAGTCTACACCATTTTGAAACATAGACTCGCCAGTGGTGTTTGGTGCAGTGTGTGTGTTGTGGGGATTGCTTCTGTGGCTCAAGTTCAGAAAGGATCCACCAAGAGACATAAAAGACAAGGCAGCTCATCAGGGGCTCTCACGGTACAATGGTGCTAAATGAGGGTGCTGAGCAGGGTGGCCCCATAATCATGAAGCCATATGCTTGCCTCTGGGATCCCCAGATGAAGATAATGTCATAGTTTTTCTAAAGCCACAGGGCAGTCTCACATTTCCTTCTCCCATTAGAGTACAAACAGGAGGAGAAGAGCCACGATCTTGAACAACCATCTTATAAAATTGCCCGAGTAGCTGCTTAGGGGGTGGGTTTTCAGGGGGTTGGGGCTCAGCCCAGGGCAAGGCAAAAGGATCAGCCGCTGTGCAAAGGAGTGAGGGTGGGGCACCTACCTGGACTTCACGTGTGTGATAGGCGATGATCAAACCCAAAAGGATGATGGTAGACAGGCTGATAAGGCATTTCAGGGCCAATGAGAACATGGAATCCTACAGGAGAAATGGAAAGAGAGAATTAGGGAGGGCCAGGAAAGGAGCATCTCACTGTCCTCTGAGGCTGCATAAAGTGGGAGAGTGGGGATAAAGGAGGGACTGTCACAAGCCCCTCCTGGGAGCAGGGAAGAACACAAATTTAGCCTGAGCCACAAAAGAGCCTGGGCCTGGGCCTGGGCTGGCTTGGCCCCAGCAGCTGCCCACTCCGAGCCTCTGTTTTCTAGGGTTAAATCATATTTGCTTTCCTGGGATGAGCCCTACTTGGGCATGATGTATTATGTTTGTTATACATGGCTAGATGCAGTTTGCCAATGTGTTATTTAGAATTTTTGCCTCCATGTTCATAAGTCATATGAACATAATTCTGTTTTGTGCCACTTCTATGTGGTTTGGGAATCAATATTGTGCCAGATTGAGCCTCTGTTCTCTCTTCACAAAGCTAAACTAGAGGATTTCTGAGGGCCCTTCCATCTCTGACAATGCACAGTACTTTCAGGAATGAATTAGGATGTCCTGGCAGATGCTCTCACCTCCTGGCTTAGGCTGAGGGCAGGGGAGGGTAGCAGGGGCCGAGGAGCTAGTGCAGAGAGAAGAGGGGTGAGCTCAGGAACACATGACCTGCACTGCAGCCTTTCAGCCCCAGGGCAGCTTAGAGAACTTGTAGTGTGGGGTTAGAAGCATGAGCTCCAAGGCCAGACTACTGGGTCCAAACCCTGACACAGCCACTTAGAGCTATGAGAATTTAGGCTGCCTCGTGTGTCACATGGGGATAATATTAGTACCTACTCAAGGGGCTGTTGGGGAAAATAAAGAAGTTAGTATGCGTAAAGTGCCTAGGACAGTGTGGGCCATGTGTTAGCTACTATTATTGTTTACTTCACATCAGCTCTGGGTTGGGCCTTGGTGTGCTCCTGGGTATTTGGAAGCCCGGAAACAGAGAAGGCTCCCCAGGGGAGATGGGAGCACAGCCCTGCGCAAAGGCTGCAGATGAAATCAGGCGGCACTTACTGTGTGGTGGCCCTGTGCTCAGTCCTGAGAGGTGCGCACCACATAAGAAGTGTGTCCTTAAGGAGCAGGTAACGAGAAGGATGCCCGACTTCTGTACAGTACCTTACAGTTTACAAGGCGGTTTCACATATTTGTTCTTAGCCATCCTCACAACAGCACTTGAACTTAATCCCAACCTTATAGACATTATAGGGGAGAGCTCAGTGGGGTGTGTGGCTTGTGCCGGAGTTCAAAGCCAGGGCCTCTGACTGCCAGTCCAGAGCTCTGCCTACAAGCCCTCAGGCCCATTCTCCAATGGGAAACAGTAGAAATATGTGAAATGCCCCTTTAAAAAGACCTAAATGACAGCTTAAGACAGCAATGGAAGGTATTTCAAAGGTAAAACATGATTAATTGCCAAGTGAAACCTACAGTAGAGCTAGGGGAGCTCAAGGGAGAGAGAGATCCCTACGGACAGGTCAGAGAGAGCTTTCAGAGGCAGATGTGAGAGGTGGCCGAGAGCTGCGGGGCTGGTGGTAGCGTCTAATGTGGCAACCACAAGAGTAAGAGGAGGGTTTGGGATTTGAACCCAGGACTTCCAATCGCCCAAGTCCATGCTCTCATCCACCCTCTGTGGGCTGAGATGGGATAAAAGCAGCTCTCCCTGGTGTCTATCAATCTCCCCATTCATTTCTTTGATACCGTTGTTGAGGCCCACTTTGTGCCAGGCAGGAGTTAACAGTCAGGAAATACAGGAGAACTAATGAAGTAACTCATGCGTTTATTCATTCACTCTTTCACAACAATCTCAACCACTTCTCATTTGTTGAGCCCTACTGGAAATCCAACAGTGTGCTAGATACTGTAGGATATACAAAGAAGGCCCTGGCCTGCTAGAAGCTTCTGTCTGACTTATATACAAACTCTGACTTTCTGCACTTTATGAGGTGGTCCAGTTGTGGGGAAAGGTCTCCATTCTGTGCTACTCACAAGATGGTCTAAACATAAGCCAGTTTTTCTTTAGCCTCTTCCATGTTCTATAGTTCAATAAAGACCGTGCCACGATTATTTACTCAGCACACATAGATGGGGTGTCTAACCAGGGGCTGGTGCTGTGCTGGTCTGATGTGAGCACAAAGAAAAACAGAACACGGATCAGCCCTCAAGAAGGTTTTGATCTTTAAAAGCACCACTTGATGCCTGAAACACTACCCCAACCACAAGACCTAAATGGGGCTGAAGAGAGCAGGCAGTGAATTCAGGAGCTCATAGACTGTTTTAGGATAAGATAAAGCTCCCTATGGGAATGAACTGGGGACAGCTCACAATGTTTTCCAGCCAGAAATGACCATAACATTCTTCTCAAAGGGGTCTGAAAGCATCTGGGGAGCATCATGCCTCCCCCAGGAAGGGTTTGGGATCAGCTGCACATTTCAACCTCTAATTTATTTCTTTTGGCAGAAATGAACTGAAATCAGAACCCAAGCCTATTTCCATCATTTTTAGAGGAAGAAGTGAAGGGAAAGGGACCAGATGCTGTCTCCTCTGAGCCTCTTCCTTTTGTCCTAAAACTCGAAGCCTTTACATGAAGAGGCAACTCCCACCTGTTTCTTGGCTTTGGCCGGTACAACCTCTTTGGCCAGCTTCCGCCCCATGGGGAGACCGTGCTGTGCACTGGATCAACAGGGACTCTCAATACTTTACAGATTTCCTTGCATTTGCCATCGCATGTCAATAAGAAGATAGACCATCGACCATTTTTAATAGCTGGAAAATATGTCAAAGAAGTCTGGCTGGACTGGAAATATTTTCTATTTGTTAAAATGTTGAATTATAATCTTTTCTTTGCTACCCGAACTCCAATGAAGCTTGAAATTGAAATGGTTCTTTGGGTGAGGCTGCAACACGAGGCTGGCTAATTAGCTGCCACACACCACATGGCGGGGTGCCTGCCACACCTGCTGTGCCCCCGCTCACTCCCATCCTTGGGCTGAAAAGGGGTTCTTGGAGCTGGGAGGGAGTCCTGTGGTCAACTGGTCAACCCTTCTCCCCTGTGACTCAGAACTTTTTAACAAACAGAGTAATAATTCTTAACACACAGGAATGCTTAGAAATTATATCCCATTTAATGAGAGTCATTTTTTAAAGCCATTTATTCCTAAATGCCCCAAAATATTCAAGTGGTTAACTAAATTTGAGATCAGCTAGTGATGGAACACTATGCAGGCACTAAAAAACACCTCTGTAGAGAATAATTTGAAGACATGGAGAAAAGTTGATGATAATATTATAATATGATGTGGAAAACTCAGACCCCAAACTGTATATGATTAAAACTTTTTGTTACTTTTCTAATGTAGAAAAAGACTGTGAAAATATGTCAAATATCCCAAGGTACTGGTGTATTTTTCTTATTATTGTTTTTCTTTTCTCCTCAAAATTTTTACAGTGAGGACACACTGTTTTTATAATCGGAAAAGTTCTGTGTTTTTTTAACCTGAGCCCTGGACTTCTGGACAGAGGCGCACACGTAGATGCTGCACTTTGTCTTTGTTTGTGACGTAGCAAGCAGCCCGCCGTGGGTGGCTGCAGGAAAACACGCCAGCTGCCAGCCCTCCCCTCTGACGGGGATAAAGGACACGGGCTCCAGTCTTCTAAACACCATTCCATTTCCTCGATGCCCATTTCTTGTTATCATGCTGTAAAATGTACTGCTGAGTGGGAACAGGGTCCTTTGTGACCCTGGGGCTGGGTAAAGGGACTCGCACCCACCCCAGACGCCTTTATTGCTTCGTTTGGTTCATAATCTACCAGAATCCATAGGATAATACATTTACACCATACAAGTATACCCCCATAACCTATTTGATGCTCTGAATACAATAGGTGCTTAATAAGTGTTTCTTGAATCTGCTTAACAATAATACTTTTATTTTTACCTGACATTTATTGAGTATTGATTATGTGCCAGCTCCCAGAACAGGCCTCTTACATACTGTACCTCAAATCCTTACCCTAAATACAAGGTCATAATGTCTCCATTTTACTCCATCTTATGAAAAAACTGAAAATTGAAGAAATGTGGTGACTTTTCCAAAGTCACACAGATAGCCCAGATTTTAGCTATATATCAGATATTTCTATATACAATGCTTCCCCTTGACCTAGGCTCCTGTGTGAGATAATAAGCTCCTGTCATCTTGGTAGAGTCTGGCTACACCCGTCAGGGGTCTACAGAGGAGATTCCTAGCAGGATAGGAGGTTGAACTGCATTCCTGAGAGATGCCCCCATCCATGTGGCTGCTGTCTGCTCCAGCCAGGAGCCAGCCCTTTACAGATCTGCAATTTCTTATTGATGACTATAATCTGTAATAAAAGCACTGCTATAAGGGCCTAACATGCAAGGAGGGTACCATCACCCACTTTTACAGAGGAGGAAACTGAGTCTCTGGGAAGTTAGGCAATTTGTCCAAGGGCATGGCCATCAAACGGCAAAGTCAAAATTTGAAGAAGCCAGACTCTACTCCTCCAGGGTCTGTGCCCTGCCTGTGCACTGACACCCCCACCTGCCTTGCTGGCCTTCCAGTTTCTGCACTGAGGCTTCTCAGAGCTGCTCCAGCCTTTCCTCCCCCGAGGCTGTGTGGAGTATGATGGAGTGTGTTCCCTGGCTTCTGAGCCAGCCATATAAATTGCTCTCTTGGCCTGCCTCGTAGCTTGCAAAGACAGCCAGAATTGTAATGATTACGGTAGATCTTCCCAGAGACTTTGAAGTTCTAAATGTGTTTTATTATTTGGAACATTGAAAAAAACAGAAAACTATGCTTGCAGGCAGAGTCCTGGAGGGGCACTGAACTGAAGTGAAATATTAGCTTAACTGAGAAAAGGTTGTGCAGGCTCCTTCCCCAATCAAGCTGTTTTCCCCCAATGTGTGTGTGTGTGTGTGTGTATGTGATCCATTCATGATTTCTGTCACTGGCTGGAACCCCCAAAGGGAAAGAGGTGATAATATC